GAGACTGCCTCCCAAGGTGGTACTGACACAGTGATTGTCGAAGTTCCAACCGATTCCCAAACAACTGAGACCTCTACTTGGTCTGGTTCGTTCACCACCACTGTTACTGAGACTGCCTCTCAAGGTGGTACTGACACTGTCGTTGTCGAAGTTCCAACTAACTCCCAGTCTACTGAGACCTCTACCTGGTCTGGCTCATTCACTACCACACTCACTGAAAGTGCCTCCCAAGGTGGTACCGACACAGTTGTCGTGGAAGTTCCAACTAACTCTCAGTCTACTGAGACCTCTACTTGGTCTGGTTCGTTCACTACTACTGTTACTGAGACTGCCTCCCAAGGCGGTACTGACACTGTTGTCGTTGAAGTTCCAACAGATTCTCAAACAACTGAAACTACAACTTGGTCTGGTTCGTTCACCACTACTGTTACTGAGACTGCCTCCCAAGGCGGTACTGACACTGTCGTTGTCGAAGTTCCAACTAACTCCCAGTCTACTGAGACCTCTACCTGGTCTGGTTCGTTCACTACCACTCTCACCGAGACTGCCTCCCAAGGTGGTACTGACACTGTTGTTGTAGAAGTTCCAACTAACTCCCAGTCTACTGAGACCTCTACCTGGTCTGGATCTTTCACTACTACTGTTACTGAGACTGCCTCCCAAGGCGGTACCGACACTGTGATTGTCGAAGTTCCAACTAACTCCCAGTCTACTGAGACCTCTACCTGGTCTGGATCGTTCACCACCACTGTTACTCAGACTGCCTCCCAAGGTGGTACCGACACTGTGATTGTCGAAGTTCCAACTAACTCAAAATCTAATTCCATTTCCAGTAGCACACCTACTGCAGAAGGCTGTCCTGCTGTTCATCCTACGGCTGTTGGGTTCATTGGTTACTTTTATGATTACAGCACTTCAGATTCGTTATCTTCTTATCTTGAAGGTGGATACAAGTCTAATAAATTGGAAGAGACTGTAGAAGCTATTGTTGATGTTGAAATTGTGTACGACAGCGTCGATACCTTAGATTTAGAAGGGTTCTTCCTTCCTCCTTTAAGTGGTAGCTACACGTTTGAGTTGAGCAACATTGCAAATGGTGCCGCTCTCTCTATTGGAGCTGATGTGGCATTCTCCTGTGGAAGCACCTTATCAAAGAGAGCCAGTGCTTCTCCTTTGATCATTGAAGGACCATCTGGTACTGGTGAATTGACTGTGGAATTGGTAGCAGGTACTTATTATCCAATAAGTATTGTTAACAATTACATTGCAAGTGGTGAGCATATTGAATTTGTTATTACAGGTCCAAGTGGAGAACTTACTGTTGAGCAAACTATATTCTATATCGAGCAAGGTGAATCTGGAACTTCATCCACTGGTGTTTCCATTGCATCGTCCACTGCCGCTTCCTCATATAGTAGCGCTGTTTCTGAAACTTACAGTTCATCCATTCCAGCTTCATCATTTGCGTCAAGCACTGCTTACTGGAGCAATTCAAGTGTCGCTTCAACATATTGGCCATCCAGTACTTATTCTCTGTCAGCTTCATCATCATCTTTAGGCAATCCGTCTGTCACAGGTATCACATCCTCGTCCGCTGCAGGCGTTACATCTTCAACTACAGAAACTGATACTACAACAACCAAAACCGATATCTCAACGACTGTGATTACCGTCACTTCGTGTGATGACGGAAAGTGTACAGTTACACCAGTCACTACAGGTGTCACAGTTGTTACCATCACTACTGATGAGGTTGTAACAGAGTACACAACTTACTGTCCATTATCAACGTCTACAGGAACTGATCTCACTAGTACGAAGGCCGATATCTCAACTACTGTGATTACTGTCACTTCTTGCGATGAAGGAAAGTGTACAGTCACGCCAGTCACTACTGGTGTCACAGTTGTCACTGTTACTACCGACGAAGTAGTTACAGAATTTACCACTTACTGTCCATTATCATCAACCAATGAAGAAGACAGTACTTCGACTATATTACTTACTGTGACCAGCTCAGAGGCATACGAAATTGAACCTACAACTACTGGTGCAGATATCTCTCAAAGAACTCTGACATTGCAAACAGTTTCTACTACTCAAACTGAAGCAGAAAGTTTGTACACTTCAGGTCTGATTTCTTCACAATCTAATGGTTATTCTAACACTTTGGCAACAAAGATATCAAGCTCCGCGTCTTCCAGCTCCTTGTCTTCCAGTTCTAGTTCATCACCAGCGATTATTACAGTCTCTGAAGGTAAAGCAGCTGCACCATTTAATATTCCGGTCATAGCTGTATTCTTGACCTATTTGGCACATATTTTACTTTAGTGATATAATCATATTCGATTATCACTGACGGCATGATTATTAGATTTAAATTCATATTCATTTCACATGGAAGGAGAAAAAGACTTCCTAGCTATTCAGCTATTCATATCGCAGCAGCGATTAAAATTCAAATTTCGGTTTTCATTTTGACTCACGGATTCTCAATATTGATGATCTCATATCTAGATTGAACTATACTTTTAAAATATTTAGTTTCTAATAACATATTTCATATATTTTTATTCCAGTGTAGGTTAACTCACAATTTACGTGTTTTATGATCCACGTAGTTGTATCTATACGCAGGATAAAGCACCTGGTTTTTACAAGTCAGGTGACCTTCTATAGTTCTGACATTAGGAAAGAAATTGAGCATTAACGAAAAATGAAAGAGCGCATTTTCTTAAGTTTGCATGCGCCGCGTATTCTGAAATAGTCTAATGTGGATTTAAGCAGATGTCCCATTTTAAAAAGAATGATATACGAATTGAAGAAGAATCCAAAATTTCGGTTCAGTACTTTCTTGTATACTTATAGCTTACGATAAAGCATATAAATACTAACAGATCAATCAAGAGAAGCTTCTAGGTTTTGAAAGTTTACAATTTGAATCTAAAATGACTACTAACAATATAGAATTGTCAAATTGGTCTTTCAAAATAGAAGCTGCGAAGTGCGTCTTGAAAAAAGAAGAGAAGAGTCACGCTGTGCTTAAGCTAAAAAACTATTTAACATTATTCTTTCATACGTTTTTTATATTATATAAATTGCATATATTCTTAAACCGTAACATCTAAAAATTGATTTAAGAATTGTGCAGGCTAAGGTGGCATCCTTCTTATCTAGGCTGCAACAGATCGATCAAATTTTTTTCTCTCTAGTGCATGCCAAATTTTTGGAGAACCAAAAATGGAAATTTGCGTAGAGCCCATAGTGATTTACACTATGAGAGTCTTGAGGAGAACTTGATTTACTTCTTCAATATTGAACAATACTAACCCCTCCTTATTGGACGCATGAACGTAATGGACGGCGACCGATTCGGGTCCTACTTAGTGCTTAATTATGCTGTTAGTGTCTTATTTTACAGACTCGGACTCTGCGGCTCACGAGATATACGGACTTAATTGCACCTTCTCGCTTATACCATGCCTATTATAGCTAAATGAAACCGTGTGGCATTTCTAAACTATGTAGGCGGATTATTTCCTTGGTATTTTTAAAGTGCAGTATATATAAAACCTTTATCGCCTCAATCGTGTAGCATTTTATTTACTGGAAATTCGTAAAAATTTATTCACTACATTACAATATGAGTGCTCCAAGTACTGTAACTAATAATATTAACAGCCTCGAGGGTAGAAATTTTCCGGAACCAGGAAAGGAAGACCCAAATTATTCTCATAAATATATTGATGATGTTGATGGCGGTTATGGGTGGGTTATCTGCTTTGCTACTTCTCTTCTACTCTTCTCTACCTGGGGTTTAAACTCAGCCTATGGGATTTACTATGCTTATTATTTAGATTCCAATTACTTTCCAGAAGCTACTGTATTGCAGTATTCTGCTATTGGAGGTATGTCTTTTGGAGTTGGCTTATTCTTCGCTCCTCTTATTAACTATGTTCAAGGGGTGTTGGGAACTAGAATCACAATTGCTTTAGGGGGTCTAATGCAATTTGCTGCAGCGTTCATGGCTAGCTATGCAGTGAATATATGGGAGCTTTTATTGACCCAAGGTGTATTAGAGTCTTTTGGACTTGCATTCATCAGTCTCCCAGCCTTGACCTTGACGTCCCAATGGTTTCAAAAGAAAAGGGTACTTGCTAATCTGCTCACAGTTACTGGAAGTGGTGTAGGTGGTATTGTATTTAACTTGAGTTTGCAGAGGATAATAGAAGTAAAAAACGTGAATTGGGCACTTAGAACTCAAGGTATCCTAAGCTTAGTTTTGGTATTATTTGCTGCTGCAATTATCAAGACGAAGTCAAAGCATCATAAAGTTGAGTTCACAATTGTAGATAAAGATTGTATCCAATGCGCAGGTTTCTGGATGATCTGTTTCTATTTGATTGTTTGCATGTTTGGTTACGTGGTTGTGATGTTTTGTTTGAGTGATTTTACAGTATCTCTAGGATATTCAGAGTTTCAGGGTTCTATCGTTGCTACAATGCTACAAGTTGGAATGGTTATAGGAAGACCTACAGCAGGGTTTTTGTCTGATTATTTCGGACCTTTGGCAGTCACAGCAATTGCATACTATCTAAGCGCCTTATTTACTCTTGCAATGTGGGTAACTGCGAAAGATTATGCAACAGCAATTGCCCTAGGTTTAGTTCTAGGGTTGTTTTTGGGGACTGTTTTCTCTACTATTGCTTCCATCACTGTAAGATTGGTCAGTATTTCTAAATTAAACGTGGCTTTTTGTATGCTGTGGATCTTCTTGGGTATATCTGCCCTTTTCTCTCAACTAATTGGTACTGCTTTGACTACAGGTAATGGAAAGAGTGAATATAGGAATACTGCAATCTTCTCTGGTGTGTCTTTCTTCGCAGCTGCAACAGCTATTCTTATTTTAAGAGGCTATATTATTACTAGAGATATGATAATTGAGCAGATGTCAGAACAAGTTCACGAATTGAAGATAAGAGTCCCCCCCGGAAGAGTCCTTGGAAATTGCCTCAAGTGGCCAAAGAAAAGAGCTTGATATTAACCTTTTTGGTATATGTATACAGTGATTAGAAATATACTCCATATAATATGAAACATTTATGATTGAACCCATTCATTAAACTACAATTTTGAACTACACTCTTCATAGTAGCCATAGTAGTTCCAAAATCAGACATTTTGGTACTGAAAAATTAATGTGACAGAAGAGTCATGTAGATGCAAAATTTCAAAGCCCAGCTGCAAACGCCGTAATATTATTTAGGGAAAGGTGGTTGAACTTGTATGTGAAACGACGAAAACAGAAAATATATGCGTACGATCGTTTATAATGTTCTTTCCCTATTGTTAAACATTCTAGATTCTAACATACACAACAGTTTGCTTCTAAACGAGACTATATATAGTTTATACCTGTGAATATAATGTTAATTGATAATTAATCCTTCTTAAACAGGGTATGTATTTCGATTTAATAATATAATATTCTCTCATTTGCAAGATCAAACAATGTACTACTTTTTGAACATCACCTCCTGCATTAGTCTGAATTATTGCTTCCGTATTAATTGAGAATAGTGCTGATACTGGATGTACAGGCTCTTTGTGCATGCGTGTCGGTCATTGGATTTCAGATTCAATTTTAATTCCATATTTGAATTTTTAGCACAGTAGCTTAAATGTATTTTGATTTAAAGTCACAGAGGAGTACTGGAAGGACGTTGTTGTTGTCACTGATTTAGTGTTGCAACAAAAGTCAGCCAAGCCGTAATATTATAATTAGACCCTAGTAATTCAAATTTTTGACGTAACATCAGTGTTATATGCCGGTTCATATAATAAGCACAGAGGCCAATTGCGCTTCTTTTTACAAATAAGAAAATTGCGCTTACAAATTAGGAAGTTTAAACCGATATTGTGAAAACTGCATCACATGTATCACAATATCAAGCTCTGGAGCATTAAATCTAAGCCTGAGGTCATTTTGTTCTAAACAATCTTAGTGGGGGTGGGAGAGGTCATTAGATCTTAGAGTCCGCTTTTCATCATATGGAATATGTACGACACTTTTGTTTATGATTTATGCAAGAAAATCAAGACTGAATCGTATTCGAGAAAAACATTCATTCAAGCAAACTATCCCTATCATTGAACTAGTTTGAGTAAATGTTCTCCCTTATTCTTATACAATATGTAATTGATATGACTTCAATAACGGACTCATGCACTCCACAGTGTCAAAATACATGAAAAATAACTCTTTTACGTTCGCATTTTTAAAATGTGTATTTCTTCTGGAAATTTGTAAACTTGAGAATTACACACAAAGAAGAGTTTTAAACCTCTCTCCATTTAAACTCTTCTGTTTCTTTATCGATGAATTCAGACAAGATGAAAAAAGCATTATGGAATTCAATCTTTCTCTGTATTTCTTTAAAGTGTACGCGTCTGGAGTAAATGTTCAGTAACGCATAATTTTATTTAGGGTGTTAGGGTGTTAGGGTGTTAGGGTGTTAGGGTGTTAGGGTGTTAGGGTGTTAGGGTGTTAGGGTGTTAGG